GGATATTGCACTTGACAGCAAGAAAGGGGTAGATGCAGTCATGCCCGTGTGCCACATGCTGGTGGCTGATGGCAGTGCGAATCTTTTTTAAGACGGCCAAGTTTGTCTTCAAAGAATCGAAGCAGCATGTAGTTGCTTGACATTTAATGCCTTTCATCAAATCCTCTGGGATGCCAAAAGACCTGAACCTTGCAGACACCTTGCCAACAAAGGAAAACAGTCGTGTCACAAACTCTGTAGCAATGCTGTTTGTGTCAGCCTTTGGAAGGCAAACCAGCGGTGTGTGTGCCTTGAAGATCTTGTGCTGCACTTTGCCACCTTCTTGAGAGCTGTTGAAAATCACCGTCTGGACATGGTTCATCACACTGACCACCCGTGACTTTCTCAATTCATTGGCCCCGCTTACTGTGCTGGCCAACCTCATGTTGGTGTCGTCAATGATCGAAGTAGTCAAGCTGTGGTTCACTGTTGTATTTTTCGATTCATTGCTGGCATCAGCTTCTGAGCCTGCCATCAGACATGCTGCTGCAACTTTCTTCCCCCAAGCTTTGAGGTAGCTCACCAAAAGTCTCAAACGCTGAAACCTCTGGGTTCTTCCCTGGTTGGCTTGGATGGGTTGGTTCAAAGCACTATCAGCTTTGATCAGATCACGAAACTCATCGGCTGGGTGTTCTGGTGGCTTCAACACTGCTTGCTGTGCCAATCGCCTTTTGGCTTTGTTGAACAAAGCTGCCTCCCTAGCCTTTGCCGTACGAAGCTGGTTCTTCAAATGGCGTCTCTGGGCCTCCATGTCATTGTCAGAGTCACTGTTCTTGGGTGACTCAGTGGAATGAGATGAGTGATGCCTGGAGGATTGAACAGAATCACTCTCGCTCGGACTCCTGTAACTGCTGTCACTACTGTGGCTTTGGCCATAATGACAGCCATGATCAGACTCAGCCTCTGGAGTGGCTTCAGAATCGGAGTCTAGGCTGATGAACCGCATGGAGCGGCATGGCAGTCCAGCCAAAGCTTGTTTGTGTCACAATTTTATCTACAGCAATCGGCACTTGTTTCCTGTTGTGCAAAGCACACACATCTCTTCCCTCAAACAATTTCTTAGTACTTAGTCCCTTAGTAGTTGCAGTGGTTCTAGTCTTAGTAATAGTAGGTAGATGTTCTGTTTAGTTCTAGGTCTAGTGTTTACAAGAACCTTATGCCGCTTATGCCTTACAACTTACACTTACAATACTTATGGTACTTATAGCAGCTTGATATACTGCTGCCACTTTCTTCACGATGCTTTTTGCACCACCATTCTGGAGAACATGAGTATGTTGGCACATGTCCCCAAAAAACAGAGCCATTCCTGTGTCGTGTCCAGCCTCTTATTTGGACTCATGTGCTTAAGCCGTGTATGTATCTCTTGAGAACGAAATGCAAAAAATCTGCTGTCAAGTGCTAATTGAGAATCATGCGTTTCAGCTTCCTGCCCTCCAAAAATCAGCCTTTGTGCCTCGTAGTTGGCCCACTCACCATCAAGAGGTGGATCAAAAGGTTTGAGGATGCCGGCAACCTCAGGATATTGAAAAACATCCACTTGCTCCATAACAAGTTGGTCGATGCAAGCAAATAGCAAAACAACCCTGGACAGCAGAGCTCAGATTGGCTTTGAGATGCTTCGAGTAATTGAGCAACAACTTTCACAAGAGTACTACTGTACTGAGGGGCCTCCTCGATAACAAAGGTTCTCGGGTTTCGTTGCCGCATCAACTTGAGGCAAGCCTTCACCACACCAGCCCCATTCCTGAGAGAATTGCAAGAAGGCTCAACACTTGTATGAGTATGAAATCAAGGGTGAAAAGGATGAAAGACAAAAAAGTGTTTCTCTCGACTCATATACTCATACTCATATCATACGGTCATATCATTATATATCATATAAGTTATAGACTCAGTGACCTTTACTGACACACTCTTTCTTAAGTACTTGAATATCTTGCTTCAACTGCACGTGACACCAGGTGCTACGTACTCCATATTCACACACGCTTCCTTGCCTATACCATCCTGAATCCTATGCCTATACCCCTATACCCTCTACTTACTACATGATTTGTCAATTTGTCACGTGTGATGATGTGATGATAAGACCCTGGCCCCCTGGACCCCTGGCCCTTTTGACATAAAGTTAAAAGAAGCTATGTGCGCATGTCGTACCGTATCCGGATCCATGCAATCTAACATTGTTGTATTAGTGTGCTGTGCGGTTGAGTTGTACTGGACTAGACTATACTGACTATACTGAATACTGACAACTGTGTTTGTCTACTGCTGCCTGCCTACTGCCTACTGTCTATTGGTTACCCACCCAATGACCCAATGTTTCCAAGAAAGATTCTGCAGAAACGGGTTGTAGGAATTTCCCTCGCGTTTGGCAATGCGACTTCGAGAATTCAAACTCGAAAATAATGGGCAAGGTATGCCCATCAACCCCAGGTCCAATTCGTCGTCGCCGGTGTCACTGTCAGACAAATCATCCTTAGATGGTGGGCGAGGTCATGATTCACCTTCAGCATGTGACCCAGGGCATCCCAGGGCCCAGGACCCCCAATAGTTTATGATTCCCAGATTTGCAAATGAGTGTTTGTCAGTGTCAAAAAATGTGAGTGGAAAAGGATGTGCTGACGTGCTGTGTCAATGCAGCAAAGGCTCAGTGTTGTGAGTGGCTTTACACACACAACAGTGCTGCATGTCACCAGCGAGGCTGACCTGAACGTCCTTGTAGAAGTGCCGCCCTCGGTAAGTTTAACCCGTCACATAGAGTCACATACACTGCACTGCAACGTCACCTGATGTCACCTGCCTACTTTCTGGTGTCATCACAACGGCATGCTGACTCAATGCTGGGCAGCAGTACATAACAAAAAGGAAAGTCCAAAAAACTCAGCCAAGGGTCATGGAAAATTTTCCAGACACAAGTTCCTAGCCTTTGCACATATCTCAGAAGAGAATTTCAATCGAATGTCCAGGCCAGTGAACTCTTCAATGTGTTTCCTAAGTAGGCTCCGGGCGAGTTGCTGTCAGGCAATCATGCTTGGATCAAGTTTGAGAAATGGGCGAGCGATGTGTTGATGCTTGTTTGGATGTGAATGTCACACAATAATGGCTGGTAATAACACCCATTTCTTCTTTGTGTTTTCTCTGCTCCAGAATATGGCCTTCCACTGTATAAATCCAGCCAGGGCACATGATGTAGCCCAATGTGCCCATTCCCTCACATGCGCCGAAGACCTTCAACCTTGGAAGCATGCTTGGGTCTTGCTTTTGGAGGGGTTGAGGAAATGACGGGTGTGGGCCGGTGTGGGGTGTGTGATTCCCGTGAGGATATTTTTGACACATTCCTTAGCCTTCTCACCCCGCTGAACCCCCTCTCTGATTGGGATGGCGCTGACTGCTGCAAAGGGTCTTTCTGTTGCGTGAGAAGTCTCCTTTGTGAATCCCTGCAAGCTCGAGATACCTAGGTATTGACCCCGAACCCTGGTGTTCAAACTTCAAGCTTAATGAAATAACAAAAATCCTAGATGAATGCTGGTCTAGTGTATACAAAAACATATACTGTATGTATACTAGTATAGTCTATAGTCACAGCTGGAACGGGAGCGGTGTGTAAAGGATCTGTATATACTCATAACTCAAGCTGCACTTTGTAAACGTGTCCACCTCTGTGGTGCAGCCTTGTTGCGCTGGAACCCAAACCCGTGGCAAAACGGAGAATGCTGTGGCCTCCATAGGCTCCTCGTCATCCTTGTCAGGTGCAAACCATTTCTTCATTGCAAGTTATGAACTGTCAGCCAAACATGTGGGGATACAGCTAATCTTCAAGCAAAACATTGGTGCTGCCGGTGTAGCAAAAGTTCACCACTGTGCGGAAGCCGTGTCTCTGCTTGACTGCTTTCCCTCCCACTAGACTCTTTCCAGCTTAGCTTCCGATTCCCATGTGCTGAACCAGCCGCCACTGCTTTGGCTAGCGCCACCAGAGCTGGAACTCTGCACAGAGGCAGCGGCAGATTCATCCTTGGCTGGCTTAGCATTTGGAAGCTTTTGGGACTTGGGCTTTGTCACTTTTCTGTCAACATCGCGTCGCAAAGTTTCAAAGGATTACTATTGCTATGGGGTCCTGAATCTGGTTTGTTTCGTTTTGTTTTGACACTGGATAAACTCAACCGGTTCCAAGACTACATTAGACTGCAAACTGCAGCCTGCTTTGGCAAATCTGAGGTTTGAAAGCCAAGACTCTTCAGAGCTGGAAGAATCTGTTGAAATGATTGCGTTCGAAAATGATCGCTTCAGCGCTCTCTTTGGCCACATAGCTCGCAAAAGTGAAAGAAAACTGCTTGGCGAGATTGCAATGGCCAAACCATATCATTTCATTCATTAGTTTTTCATTTTACCAGCTATCTACTGGATTGATCTTGACTTCAAGGTCAAGAGCTGAAAAGAAATCCAAAGCTGTGGGGCGACCAATCTGCGCTGACAATGCTGCTCTGTGGGCGCTGCGAAAAACTGCAGAAAATCTGACTCAAAAAACATTAGTTAATCCTGTAATCCTATCCAAAGTTCAGAGTGCAGACATTCACCCCACTCCATCCGGGTGGTGTGAACATTGTTTCTGATTTGGTACGCTTACCCAAAAGGAATCTGTGTTTCACATGTTCTCCCAACTGGACATCTCCAAGTTCAAAGAGCGATGAGCGAATTCACACTCCCCATCAATTCAAGCAAGTAGTCTCCAAGGCCCCCCATATTGATTTCAACAGTGCCATAATGCCCACCATTGCTGCCAACACTGACACTACCCCACAACATGACCCACAACATCAACTGTAACATCATCCTGAATCATGCTTGCCTTTATACGGTCATTTCCTACAGAAAGGGCCTTTAAAGAGGCCAGTGCACAAAATAATGTATGTTCCTCTTGTGTTTCTACTGTGCGTGGTAAAAATTTGGTTTCGAAGGAGAGGTTGCGAATGCTGATGATGCCATGTTCGAGATTGAAAGCATTGGGCAAGATGCTCGCTGCAAAGAATAACACATGCGAGCAATGTTTGTGTGTGTGTGTGTGTTTTCGCTGTATTTTTTTGGTGGCAAGCAGTTAGTGTCGTGGGGTAACAGGATGTAACAGGTTGCTTGTAGGTCACAGCAGTTGTTTTGTTGTTGCCGGAGTTGGTCAGGGGCTGTGGCAGCCATTTTTGGTGTCCAGCAGCCCAGCATTTAACTTGCTACTGCCAATGCTATAATTTGCATTAATTTCCATAATTTGGAGCTTGTGCATTGGTGCTTTGTATATTACGAGCCACATAATTGTGTTCATCATATGTTTATTCTTTAGACTGTTTCACACGCATCGGGCCGGCGGGTGCAAGATGTTCAAGAAATAAGCCATCGAGGCCAAGGCAGAAACATTCTGTCAGCAATCCCTATCGTGGAACAATGACTTAGGAGCGGCACGTCCTGCTTTGCTTAGAGAAGAAGGAGCCTGGGATGTGGAGCAGTCTTTGGAAACAGTCCGGACGCTGGGCTGAAGCGAGGTCGATAGTCAGAAGATGCGGTGGCATTTTGAACCGGGTGTCCCAAGTTGTTGTGAATGCTCTTGTAGCTGAAAGCCGTCAGAAGTCCATAGGACCGGTCCCTCCTTTCCATGTACATAGTACACACAATGAAACAAAATGAAACATGCGTCTACAGTGTATGCAGCAAGTACTATTCGCGTCGCTTCGCGACGGCAACCGCCCGCACGGAAGGGTTGGGCTCCCAGAATTTGTGCTTGAACATTGTCTGAAACTGGCCCAACATAGGTCCCATTTCAGCCAAATTAGCCCAAGAAGTCCATATCTCAAACGTCTGTCTTCCAGATAGCGACTTTGGCGTCCGAAACATTGACCCTAACATGGGGCCAAAATTGACCTAACATCGTCCAATATAGGCCTGATTTGGCTAAACATGTTCTCTTGGCTCAAGATAGGCCTAAGAATAGGCTCAATAGGCTTAACATAAGCCCGGCATAGGCCCAAGATAGGCCCAACATAGCCTAACATGTGCCAAACTGAACCCAACATATCCCAATATTTAGGCTCCAGCAGGAAGAGGTGGCCCCGTTTTTGCTCTAGAACCCTGTGTTTTTCAACGTTTTTGA